TATTTTCATTGCCATGATGTGATAGTACCTCTTGTTAATATATCCGGATATTTTTATACAAATAAATGAAAAATATATATGTGATGGTTAACTAAATCCATGATATGAATATTAAGATCAGATAATAGCCAAGTGTACATATTGTTTTCTAACAAATAATTTCAACTCTTTACAAATCTAATGTATATAGTAGTAGTATTTGATTACACATATTTTATTTTTATTATCACCATATGCAATATTTTATTACATTATTTAGCAATGAATGAATGTCCTATGAAAAATATTTTAAATCTTTACCTTCCCAAGTTAAAAATATTTTTTCTTAAGAAATCTGTTTACAAAAAAATGCTATTTGAGACTATTTTTAGAGTAATGATTGTTTCTATTTCTTAAGAAGAAAGATGTCTGAGAGCGTTTTTCTCACATTTAAAAAGGAGTTTACCCATAAGTCATATACGAATGTACATGGAGTTTTTAATCTTTTAAGAACTGCTAATTAAATCTTTTTTCCCTCGTTGCCTCTGTTTTAGGCATGCTGTGTGTGGTACTTCCCATGGTTTGTCATTTTGCTTTAATGGCAGGGGGAGGAAACCAGCAAAGCTCAGTAACCACACTGCATATCAAAATGTCACCATGACAGCATTTGTCCACTTGTCAGAGTTCTCCTGAAATGACTCAGCCATTCATTTTGTTGAATCAATATTGAAGCTCTCAAGATTTATTACTTGAGGTTTGGGAGCAGGCGAGGCAAACAAACCCTTCATTTCTAACATCAAATTCTATTTGAACCAAGATTATGATTCCTGTCTACACTTTATTTATGAGAATAGACTATAAGGTTTCCACTCCTTGCATAATTGCAATAAGCTTGCATTTACATGCCTGCTAATACCATGAAAAAGAATTTAAATTTCTGAAAATATTCCATGGTCTGTGGGAAAGTTATCAAATGCTGAATTGAAATAGCTAATTTCCTGGGGATGTGGGGGAGGGGGACAGGAAAGAGAGACGTAAAGGTTTTGATATGAAATCTTTAAATTTTTGGTATAAGATTCTTTAAATTCCATTTATACATATCCCATCTTGAAGCATAATTAATAAAAACCAGGATAAGTATGTTATTGACTAAATCTTTCTATTTAATCAGGTCCATTTATTTATACTTTCTCTTTTCAACAAATATAAAACTGACCTTTTCTATTTTAAAATACTGTGATTTCTTCAAAGATTTTTAAAATAATCATATGCATTTCTAGTGGATGGGGTCATAAAATGAGTCAGATATCTTAATCCAAGTACTCACTAGGTGCATTTTTATTATTAATGGGCTAAACTCAGTGCAGAGCTCATCGATACTGTTCCAAGATGAAATGATGAGAAATACTTCTAAGTATAGATCTACCCAACAAGCCCCCCAAGTATCTTTGAAGCTTCATTGATCTATCAGGACAGGCTAGAGTGAGAGAGGGCAAGCTTCTCTTCATTATTCCTCCTTCAGCACCCTTCCCAGAGCTGAGGAGTCTCCCACTCACACCTCATGACGTAGACCACTACTACCAGGATCTGCACAGGATGCTGCAATCCAGTTATCCTCAAATGGGTGAGCCTACACCAGATAATGTGATGAAGTCATCTAAGCTGGGTTATGGGTCTGCTGTCCCAGAAGCCCAAAACTCTATTAAGAACTTCTCCAATCTGAGGAGAAGGCCTTGGCTGCAAGCAAACGAAACCACTGCAAACAAAGCTCCCACTGTCTTATTTCCCACATGGATGAGAAAAGCAAGCCCAGTAAGGACGGGTTTGACTGGTGGGATGTTTGAAGATCATGCAGGGCCTTGCCAAGTTTATATACATGTGGGTGCCTGGTCCACTTAACACAGACATGTGCCAGCAGCTTTAGACTTAAGATTGAAGTGCTCTATCTTTCCAATGTCCAGTCAGCTTTTTGAATTTAAACAACCTCAAAGAGCTGTAAGAATTTCAAATCATACTGAAGGCATATAGAACACTCTCTGTAGTTTCTGCTTAAGGTGATGAAAAGTTGTAGAAGTAAACAGTGATGGCTGCACAACATTGTAAATGTGAGTATTGCCACTGAACTGTATACTTAAAATTGGCTAATCAAATGTTAAATTTTGTTTGTTTCCTTTACCATACTTTTAAAAATCAATAATGTTATATATGAAAAACCAGTACACATTTTTAAATGGGTGAATTGTATGGCATATGAATTATGTCTCAAGAAAGAAAGTGGTTTTAAAAAAAGAAAAGGAAAAAAAGAGTAGTATGCAGTGCACTTTAATGCTTTGGCTGTCACTTATATATAAGTCGGTCATATCAGAAAACTTACACTGAAATCATCTCACTTTTCAGGAAATCAAAATTCTTTTGTGTTTTCTTCTTTGTAGGGTTCTGAGAAAGTAAAAAGGTTTTTCTTTAAATTTTTTAAGATTATGCTTGAAAGGGTACCAGACAAATACAGATTTAGCATTATATTAAAGCAGTCCCACATGGAATACTCCCAGACAAAATGGAGAGCTCTGTTAGTCCTTCATTTTCCTCTTTTCTTTTTCTAAAAGCAAGGAATGTGAATTGTGAATATTTCCTACAAGAAATGCTGAGCTGGTTAATTTCTGATAATTATAAAATCATGGGTGGTCACTAGTTCAAAGAAAAATTTTCCCAAATAAAACAAAGTATGAGCAGAGTCTTTAACTGTGTCCCTTTATCCACTGCCAAAATGCAGCATCAATAGAAATGAATGTGAAAGCTGCAGCTTTGATATGAAAGGTACTGAAAGTATTCATCTTTTGGTAGTTGTTCTGCCACTATATGGAATGGAATAAAAGGAAAAAGAATTATGCAGCATCAACTTGAATTACGCAATTGGGGAAAAGGAAAGGCAAATCATAACCAGATGCATCTATGCATACATTTTTTAATAAAATTTTTCTTTGATATCTGCAGGCACCCAATGCACTCTATTGGCAGTGAGAAGTTATTGAAAATAATACAAAAGAAAAATTTAGACTAACATATTATCACTTATTTACAGTAGAGAAATACTATTAGAAATGTCTTTAAAACATCAGCACTAGGCTGAACCCATGAAACTGATATTTTCTTATGTTAAAATAGTCAAACATTGGGAAAATTGTTGAGTAAAAGCAATTGCATATGACTCAACCTAATATATAATTTTCCTTCTAATTAAAAATGACAGCCTGTTCTTATTTATCATCACCATTTAATAGAATAAAAAACATTTATTTAATTTTATGTAGTTTAAGTTATTTAACATCTTTAGCTCTTATGTGAAATGATTCCATAAATATATGAATCAATTAATGTTCCTTTTCTCCCCTTTAAGAAATGTTTTTGAAGTTGGCTATACCAAAATTTCCCACTCATCAGTCTGTTGGGGCCTACTCAGCTGGCCATGAGGCACTCCAAGGGAAATGTTCTCTATTTGAGGTGAAGGAGGATGCTCTTCCTCAGTTTGGGTTTGCTCTTATGCCCTTTTTACAAAATAATGATGTAAGCTAAATACCAGGCTTCCTCTTTTTGCTACCTTGTAGGACCCAGAAGCGGGTATGTGGGCATGTTGAGGGACTGGAGGATCTGAGTGTGAGGTCTAGGGCTGCTGGAGTGGGACTGAGTGAAGCTTCATACTAATGGAACTAGAGGGAGAAGTCAAATCCTACTATGGATATTCATCCTCCCTCCAATCAGAAAAACCACATCTCCTCTAGGGTCTAGAGAGAAAGAATCATGCTGGCTACAGAACGTAAAGCCAAGGATTAAAAGCTGGATCATTTTGAGAACAGTATTAAAAGGAGGAAGGAAGAGAAAGAAGGTGAGGAGAGGGGCAGAATGGAACTGAGTTGAAAGAGAGACAGAGCTTTGACACAGAGTGCTGCCTGTACCACCTAGTTAAAGATGCAGCAGTGGGGATGCGATGGGGAAGCGGACAGGCACTGCCATATTCCAGAGCTCAGCAGACAGAGTAGAATCAGTATCTAAAGGTTTCCTTCCTAAACAAATGCCAGGACTATGCTTAGACAACTGCAGTTGGCTCTCACTGTAAGGATGGAATTTGGGTGGTATTATTGAAAAAATTTCATGTTGTCAGTGATAATCTATACCATCCAACAACTGGAAGAGTTCTGTTTGCAGTTAACAAAAAGCAAGCTAGCCCACAATTCTGGACATTTTTCTGGGAGAAGAATAACCATTAAACAACTCTTCATATAGTAGAGGCAAAGGTCAGAGGCAGGCAGGCAGTGACTGAAGTTCTTTTCCAGAGTTTAGTATGAGACTAACATGAGGAGAAAATTTTGGAAAGGGTTTCAGTACCTAAGTAGTCAGTTTACTGAATTCAGTTTGCCAAATAAAACCTAAGTTGATGATCATTCTTTTTCGTCCCCAGGAGGAAATCTTGGGCGAAGCCAATCTTTCACATTCATTTGCAATTATTAACCGATAGTCTCATACTCAGATAATACAATGCAAAGCGTAACCTCCCATTTATGCTTTGAGAATTAGTTCTGTGCTTGCTTGAGCCTGATGCAGGTTGTAAAGCCTACAGTGGGGAAGGGGTGTGTGTCATTCTTTTTCTTGATTCTTCCCAACTCTTGTCCTTTTCATTATGCTCTTTTACGGCTCCTTCAGAGTTGGAAAGCAGGGAAATAGGTATGTACAGGTAAAAAAAAAAGGGGTTCTTTCCTAACCAAGTCCTTTGGAAACTCTTATCTGTGGGGATATCTTACATGGGCTATGGTTTCCAGAGTGGGCTATTTGCAATTTACCTCCATTCCCTACCTTCTGGCAGTCCATAGCAGGTCCTCTTGGTAGGGTTCACTTCATTCATCCAGATATGCCTTTTGGGTGTGGTATCTTTAGACAATTGAGGCCCTCTGGTCATACCCACGCTCGCCTTCAGAACACCACACCTTTCCCTTGCCATTCCTCTGACTGCAGGGGAGGGTTAAACTCACCTTCCAACTGTTGCTAGATGAGTCAGGTACCAGTCCCTCTGTCCCTCAAACTCCACGTCAGGTTCTCCAAGTGATTCTGACTCAACACCAGGTTTGCCTGGGGTTGGTGGAGGTGAAATGTACTGGACTGTGACAGCTCTCTCCAAAGGAATTCTCGCTGCAGGCTTCAAGACTAATCTCCTGGCCTCCACTTATAAACCCTGAAACAGAGGTAAGTAATGACTTAAGAATCACAAAATCAGTCTGTTCACAATGTAGTTTGTGGCTAATCTCACAGATTTTGAAACGATCTGCATTCAGAACTCTTCTCTACTATTTGCTAGCCAAAATACTTAATCTCTCAGTGTCCTTATGTGCAAATAACTGAAGTGTAAGAAATAAAAGCAAAAACTCCAGCATAGGTTGTTTTAAAATTAAATGCATTAGGTACTCAGAAGAGTGCCTGGTCATGAATAATGTAGCAAACTGACATCTTGTGCCTTCTGATTTGATGTGCTGAGAAGTATCTAACATCACCAATGTGGGAATCTTGCCCAGAAATACTTAACCTGAATCTTATCATGAGGAAATAATCAAACAAATCCAAGCTAAGGTACATTCTGCAAAACAACTGCAGTCTAGTTTTTCAAATATATCCAAGTCATGGAAGCCCAAACATTTTAGATAGAGGAGGGGAGCTGGGGAACTCTTCTGCATTAAAAGAAACTAAAGAGTCATGACAACTAAATGTAATGCATAAACCTTGATTAAATGCTGAATCTCATTTTAAATAAATACACACACACACAGATAAAGGATATAATCAGGGCAATCTTGGGTATTTAACTACAAACTGAACATTAGAAAATAAGATTGTATCAGTATTATACTTCTTGAGAAATAGTTATGTTATGGTTATGTGAAAGAATGTTCTGTCCTTAGGAGACATATTCTGAGGGATTTAGGGGTGAAGTGTCAGGATGATGGTAACTTATTCTCAAATCACTTCTCAAAATATTGTATTAAAAATAAAAATAATAGTGCCAGAGCACAATAAATCTCTTAGAACAATTCTTGGCACATAATAATAAGGGTAGATTATGTATTATTAGCACAGATACTTAGACAACAGGAAAAATCACATTTAAAATGATTACACATGTGTCAAATTGAGTTAATGTACTGAACCATCGATTCCCTAATACTGTCTTCACCACCACTCACCACCCTCACCCAACTCCCGACCCCCAACAGCAATCTTTCTTTAGCTCCTCCAACTCCTCCCTTCAGATCACTAATTATATATTTTCTAACTTTCTAATTTACCTTTTGGGAGCTAATATCAGGAGATGTTTTTCTAGATGTGCTTTAATCTTTAACATTTAGGTTCACAACGGACATAGAAAAAATCTTTGTAGCTTCAAATTCATATAGTAACTTGACTTAGATGAACTTTAAGTCTACACTTTATAGCTTAGTGGGTCTCAAACATTTTGGAGTCAAGACTCCCTCATTCTCTTAAAGATTAAAGATTCAAGCTTTTGATTAGTTACAGCTATCAATATTTACAATATTAAAATTAAAAACTGAGAACAATTTAAGATATGTATTCAATTAAAACTAAACCCATTTCATATTAACGTAACTAATATATTTTTATGAAAAATATATGCCTTCAAACATAAATATTTAGTGGGATCAGTCGCATCATTTACCATTTGATAAATCTCTTTAGTGTCTGGCTTAATAAAGACAGCTGTATTCTTTGTTTAATAATTGTGGTAATGTACATACAACATAATTTACCATTTTAACCATTTACCATTTTAAGTATACAGTTCAGAAGCATTTAGTATATTCATAAACATTACCACTATTTCCAGAACAGCACCCCAAAAGGAAAACCTGTACCTATTCAGCAGTCACTTACTATTCCTCCCTTCCCCTAGCCCCTCACAACTACTCATCTGCTTTCTGTCTCTCTGGATTTGCCTATTCTGGATATTACATATAAATAGATCATACAATATGTGGCCTTTTGAGTCTGGCTCCTTTCACTGAGCATAACGTTTTCAAAGTTCATCCATGCGGTAGCAGATAGCAGCATTTCATGTCTTTTTGTGGTTGAATAATATTCAGTTGTACTCACATGTATACATCATATTTTGTTTATCCATTCACCTGTTGATGAAAAATTTGGGTTGTTTCTACCTTTTGGCTATTATGAATAGTGCTGCAATAAATATTCATGTACACGTTTTTGTTTGAACATCTGTTTTCAATTATCTTGAGTATATACTTAGGAGTAGAATTGCTGGGTCATATGGTAAATCTATTTTTCACTTTTTGAAGAATGGCCAAACTGTTTTCCACAACAATTGAATAATTTTACATTCCTAATAGCAGTGTCTGATTGTTCCAATTTCTCTGCATCCTTACCAACATTTGTAATTTTACATTTTTAGAACTATGGCCAACCTAGTGGATATGAAGTTATATATCATTATGGTTTTGATTGGCATTCCCCTAATGACTAATGATGTTGAACATCTTTTCATATGCTTCTTGGCTATTTGTGTATTTTCTTTGGAGAAATATCTAAACAATTTCTTGGCCTATTTTTTAATTGAGTGTTTTTTTTAATTGCTGAGTTGTAAGAGTTCTTTGTATGTTCTGGATCCTAGACCAGGTGTATGACTTACAAATATATTCTCCCACTCTATGAGGTGTCCTTTCACTCTCTAGATAGTGCCCTTGATGCCCACTTTTTAATTTTAATAAAGTCCAATTTATCTACTTTTCTTTTGTTGGTTAAGCTTTTATTAAATGGTTTTTTGTTTAAAAAAATTGCCAAAGCAAAGATCATGAAGGTTTATGTCTATGTCTTCTTCTAAGATTTTTATAGTTTTATTACTTATATTTAGGTCTTTCATCCATGCTGAGTGTGAGGTAAGGGTCCAACTTCATTCTTTTGTATATGGATATCCAGTTATCCCTTCACCATTTGTTGAAGAGATTATTCTTTCCAGTAGAATGGTCTTTGTATCTTTGTCAAAAACCAATTGACCATAAGTGTATAGGTTTATTTCTAAACTTTCAATTCCATTGCATTGATCTACACATGTCTACCCCCATGCCAGTAAACTGTTTTGATAAGTGTAGCTTTGTAGTAAGTTTTAAAATTGGAAGCGTGAGTCCTCCAACTTTGCTCCTCCTTTTCAAGATTATTTTGATTATTGGAATCCATTGCCATTTGATATGAATTTTAGCATCAGCTTTTCTGCAAAAGGTCTTTGGAATTTTGATAGAAATTGCAATTAAACTGTAGATATATTAATATCTTAACAATTTAAGTTTTTCAATTCATGAACACATGTTGTTTTTCCATTTATTGATACTATTTCATTTCAGTGTTGTTTTTACAGTTTTCTGCATACGACTCTTGCATCTTATTGGTTAAATAAATTCTAAGTTATTAATTCTCCTTGATATTGTAAATTGAATTTCCTTTTCAGACCTTCCATTGCTAGCATATAAAATACCAGTGATTTTTATGTGTTTATCATGTATTGTACAACTTTGCTAAAGGCATTTATTAGCTCCAATGACATTGCTGAACATTCATTCTGTTGTTATATATTGTTTTGGCTAAAGAAATTCAGAAAATATGAAGAGTTCAGCTTCTAATCAATATGTCTCAATAGTTAAGGTAGAGAAAAAGGTTTTAATATTTTTTCAGATAATTGTGGATATTTGTCTTTGATACTATACCAAGGCTCAATAAGTAATGGTTTCTTAAAAGTTGGTCACAATGTGGCATCTGAAATCATATCAATAAGCATTTTTTTAAATCCTCACCTGAGGACATTTTTTAATTGCTTTTGAAGAGAGACAAAGATGGTGATGGAGGAAGGAAGGGAGGGAATAGGAGAGAAAAAGACAGAGAGAGAGAGAGAGATCAATTGGTTGCCTCTCGTATACCCTGATAGGGAATCAAACCCACAGCCTTTCAGTGTATGGGAAGACACTCCAACCAACTGAGCCACATGGGCCAGGGCTCAATAAGCATTTTTTACGTAGTCATATTAAAACTCTTGGCCTTATATTTTGAATGGATCTTTTATTCATGCATGATTTTGTAACATTGCACATTTGGAAAATATTGATTTACTGAGTATTGCAGATCTTTCAGGTGTTGACACTTTTTGTTTTATGATATTTTAAGAACCACATTATTAAGATCACTGCCAACTGTATCACAAAATCTTTCCATTTTGAGAAGACCCAGGCTTACTGGGAAAAATGAAAATGTTATAAAATCTAACTTTTGCTTCAGATAACACTTGTCTTATCATTGGTAGCAAATACTTGTTTTTCTTGAAGTAACTGGCTTACTTTGTTCATTTTCAAGAAAATGTCTACCAAATATCCAAGTCTTATTAACTATAGTTTTTCTGTAGGTCGTTCTTTCTATTAAAAAGTGCACCCTATAATAAAAAATAGCTTGTTCTGCTCCCAACTCAGAGAAGGGCAGAAGAGCTTTTCCTCCAGGCAACCATTCCATTTCATCAGACAAAATTAAAAAAAAAAAAAATCACTCAGTCCAGTGTTGAGATTTAATAAAATGAACACATTTTACTGATTAATCAAAAAACATTCTTAAGTAAATTTTTTAAAATGAGTACATAGTAGTGAACAATACAATGACTACTGATATAGTTTGGTATCATTGTCTTGATTCATGCTAAGGATTCACTATGAATGCACATTAAAATGCAATGAACAAGGCAAATAACTTCTTAGAATTCTTTCAAAAATGCTTTTGACCTTGAGGACTCTATGAAGGAATCTTGGGGATTGGCAAGGGTCTGCAGATTGTACTTTGACAACAGTTGATATAGCTATTGAAATGTCAGTTCTGCACAGCTTTCACTTCCTAAGTGCTGAAAGACGTAGATGTTAACCACTCTTATCATAATCCCCTGGTTGAAGTTTTCCAGTCTTTTACCAATGCATTTGGGTGTTCTCATTACACAGACCCAACAAGCAATAGCAGTCCCTAGTTATAGTCCTTGGGAAACAAGAATTTTAGTGGGTAAGAGGCAGATATTTAGAGAAAGGTGAGTATGG